AAGCTAGGAAGGGAAAAATTTGATTCTAGTTCATGTCTCCATTCTAGTTCAAGCTAGGAAGGGAAAAATTTGATTCTAGTTCATGTCTCCATTATGTTCTCTACATGCCTATGTCTACTTCATATGAGGATAAAAATAAGATTTAAAATAAAAGGCAAAAATTTTAATTAACATAAGCATGAAATCAAAAGTTCCTGTTCTATAGGTCTGTAAAATTTTAATATATTTCTATAATCCGCTGTAGGGATAATAATTTAGAAATAGAAGAACTACCTCCTTAAATTGATTCCAGATACTAATGATCATATGCTTTGGAAAATCTTTTTATAGAAAATATTGCTCGACCAACTATGATCCAGGAGATCAGCATTTCGATTCCTGGTCAGGGCACATGCCTGGGCTTTGGGCTCCATCCCCAGCAGGGGGCGTGCAGAACGCAGTTGATCAATGACTCTCATCAATGTTTCTCTCCTCCCTTCCTCTCTCTGAAATCAATCAAAACATATTTTTTTAAAAGAAAAGAAAATATTAAGTCACTGGAGTTGCCAAAATAATGGGCTTTATGTTGATATTTCTCAGCTCCTATTAATAAATCTGCTTTAGAATATTTGCTAAAACTACATTTTTTTCTCCTCTATTTCTTTGAATAGCCTCATTACAAATTCTAGTTTTCCTCAATACTGCCAACCTCATTTCAAATTCTACTCCTTTCTCCATACCTCAAACCTGTCACTCAATTTTATAAAATGTCTTAAGTCTTCTTTACAAAGTCTAGGGTGGGGCAAAAGTAGGTTTACGGTTATTCATATGGAAATTAATACAATCATTAATAAATAATACAAGAATAAACTGTTTCCCATACTTACAACTGTAAGTTTCCCCGAACCCTGTATGTACTGTGCCCTCTGCATTCATTATCTAATTTAATAGTACCTATGGGATAGATTTACACATGAGGAAATTTAAGCTTAGATTAAGTAAACTGTCCAAGGTCACAAAGCTTAAGTAGGGGATATAACTTGAACCCAGGTCTATGACTGGGAAATCTATTCAAGTCTGTACTATATTGCTTTATATTTAAATACCAATTAGGCATTTAATACTTTCACATAGGTTAACTACAGTTTAATCTCACTTAAACTCACAGTAACCTTGACGGGAAGGTTCCTAAGTATAAAAACCTTAATCCACCACCCCCTCCGATTTTACTTAAAAGAGCATGTAACTGAAGGGGCAGAGCTGGATGACGATCCTCTGATTTCTAGTCTACTGCTATATGATTTGTTGCCTGTACAAGCCAGTTTTTCATTAAGTACAACTCACTCCTCTTCCTTTCAACTATTATCCAAATGTGTCGGGAAAATAAACTGGTCACTGCATTAATAAAGTCCACCTGAGGTTTGTCTCTATTGTATTAACCATGACTCAGATGGTTATTATTACCGATTTATATTTGAAAGCTAATAGTGCACAACCTTAGAAGGAGCTATGATCTGCAAGAGCTTTCAAAGTAGTTTAATTTCCTCATCCAGTTGTCAAACACTCATTCAATAAACAATTTACTGAGTACCTACCAGGTATATCAGCATCCTGGTGCTGAAGACACAACAATAGAGACACTGTCCTTCAACTGCTAGGAGCTTTATGGCTTACTAAGTAACAGCCCAGAAAATAGTACTTACACAATGTGCTAGAAGTGAAAATAGAGGAATAGAAAATATTGTGTAGTAGTATGTAGTTTATAGGCTCTCTGTCCACAGGGAAAGAAGCATTCTTGATGGTGGTGATAATCTATAAAAGCAATGAAATATAAAACCTCAGAGTAAGCACACAAGAGGTATCAGGGACCCTAACACAAAAATCCTTGTGTGCCATTTAATACTAGACTACAACACAATTCCCTAATACTGTATATGTTAAGATTTCTACATGTAATATTCATAAACTGATAAAGCTAATGACTTCAAAGCTTCAAATTACCTGTTTGTGTGCGTGAACTGTGTATTAAATCAAAGGTCTTTTTAAAATTCTACTTTAATAGCAATTTAGTTACTAATTCCTGCTGCTAGTTTTTCAGATTTCATTAGTGGTCTAAGTTAATTGCTTTCATAAGTTCCCTAAAATTGGGGGAATTGTGAAGTAAAACTGCAGAGTCATTCAACCTAGTACTCATTGCTTTTTAGCTGGTTTTCTCTTTCCCATTTTGGTCTTACCCAGACAGGACTGGTTTGAACCTCTAGGACACAAGGAATTTATCTAATTTGGTGGAATGTCACTGCAGGAGGGGAAGTCTTGTTAAATTGCTATTACTCTAGAATTTAACTTTTTGTTTTCCTTTACAAAATAAGACCAGTTAATTGTCAAGAATTTGTAAGATACAAAAAAAAGTAATGTCAGTCACACCCACCCCTCAACAGATGATTCCATCTTTCTCATTTTTCAGCTCTTTTTAATGGATTCTTCAATTATATTGGTTAGAAAACTAAAAGGTTTAACTGCGAATATGATTTTTCAGATTAAAAATTTACATTTTAAAATCAAAATTGTAATTTCTGTCAGGCGCTTCAACTGAAAAGAACCATGGGACTTTCTAAGTTTGCAGTATAAACAAAAGAGTTTAAACCCCAAACTGAAAAACACTCTTCCCTAAAGCGCACTGTTTGAGGCCAAAACACTGGCAACTACATTGCAAATGAAATGGGAGTACACCGGGTTGGTCAAAAACCTAAGCAAAATAATTTCTGTATTTTCACAAAATACTATTCATCAAAACCTGAAGAGGTCACCTGGAGTTTTACAATGGGGAAAGCTAAGGAGGGGCACAAGTGCTACTTAAAATGAGTTTACTGCTGGTCAAGGAATTGGGAGTGGGAAGTAAGTGCGATTATTAGGGAGAAATGGCAAAAGAAAATGTCAAAGGCATAAAATACGGAGTCAGCAATATCTCGACTTAACCTTTTCTTTAAGTTTACGGGGAAAACACATTTGGTTCAATTATATTCCAGCCCAATTCGTTTCTGAAGAATTAGTTCCCTTTTAATGAAACCTAATCACTTTCCCATAAGCTAGCCAGTCTCCGCAGATCACTACACCGAAACACCATCTCTCAACGCCTCCCCATTCAATCGAGACTGTCGTATTTACCTCTCCTGTTCTGAAGCTAGCACATCTTTATTCTTGCAACTATCCTCTCCCTACTGCACCATAAAATCACAGAACAGAAAGGTAAAAGGCTTGCTGTTACCCTTCCAGTCCCATGCAAAGCATATGAACACCTATAGAACGCCTCTTGCAAGGCTATCAGCTAAAAACAGAATTACTGAGAAAGCACGTTCAGAAGCAGGCTTTACAGTCACTCCGCAGTGAGGGCCACATCAGTGTCATTCCCTCCCAAGCCAGTCTCACCGGAGACGCCTCTGCCTCCAGGGTTTTTCTTACTTCCCCGCTCCCCAGCCGCAGGTTGAAGGGAAAGACCGTGCAGGGCCTCTGACAAATAAATGGGCTTTGGGGATTGGAACCTAGAGGCTACTGCAGAGCCCCCGAGAGTGGCTGAACCAATCCCACTACCCGAAGCCCCAAAGACTCCGAATAGGGAACCATAATATTAGGCCGCACTCACTCCCAACGCCGAGAAAACTGGACGTCTCAACCCCTAGGTTACGGGGGCGAAAACAGTGGAGGAGCGGGGTCAGGAGAACTGGAGAAAGGAGCTGCTCGCCGGTGCAGGATGACAGCGGGAAGGAAGCCCCGAACAGCGGAGGTCGCCGTTCACACTCTCCCTTCCCTTCTTCCTCCCACCCCTTCTCCGAACCCCATCTGCTGCCGGTTACACGTAGCCGCTCACCTGACTGGGCGCGAGGTGCAGAAGCAGCACAGACCGCGGACCCACAGGCTCGGTCACTGAGAGAGGGGAAGTCTCCAGCTGCAGAGG